TGGAATATTTGCTCTTCGTAATATTCAAGAAGGGGAGGAATTGACCTTTGATTATAATGCAGAACGATATGGGTATAGTCAAGATTATTTCTATTTTATTTTATTCTATTTTATAATAATATATTATATAAATTTATTTCAGGTCTGAAGCTCTAGCTTGCCATTGCGGTGAATCAAATTGTCGTGGTATTATTGGAGGGACCAAAGAAACTGGCGATTCTATTTTATCACAAGATTTAATCGAAGCTGAACAATTGAAACCGATACAAAGTTGTGATGACGTATTGCCATTCATTGGGCTTATGCTTCGTTCAATTGATAAACCAGCGATGGTACCGGGGTTGTTATACAGGCTACGGGTAAATTCATTCCCAATGCTAACTATCGTTCAATTATTAATTGATAAGTATTAATATTAATTTCTCATACTGTTTCTATAGATTACAAACGATATTGGTATCCTTAAAATGTTTATGAAGCTACATGGCTCCATAATGCTCAAAACATATTTACGTGAATATAAGGACAATGATGATATTCTCGAAAAGGTTGGAACACTGCGTTCAATGATTAATATTTAATAATAATTAGAAACTAACTTTGAAGTCAACAACAATATAATATTATAATATTTTTCTGAAGACTCTCACAATCGCAGATAAATTACCATATAAATATAGTAACCGTCGCGTTGAGACATCACACCTTAAAGAGTGGGTAATGAAATTTACGAGCCGAGATGATAGAGTTGGAGAATGTTGCAGAGCAGTATGCTTCTTTTTTTTTTTTTTTTTTATTTTTTGTTTGAATACTTGTCATATTTATACCGCGAAGAACCAGATTCAGTGCTGTGGTGGTCATTTAAATAGGACGATGAGCAATGGGTATATTCGGATGACGATGCGTTAGCTTGTTTATGAGGAGAGAGCTTTTGAGAGACCCAATAATCCGTTTGAGAAAGGTTCTGAAATGGAAAATGACTATCTGTGAACCGGACATAATAGTCATGCGCTGACTCGTAGAAATAGTAATCGTCGGAAGTCAATTGACTTTCTACTTTAGGTTCGGAGGTTTCCGAATTTTTTGGTGTGTCAATGTCCTATTTATTTTAATTTGAAAATCTAAATGTAATCATCTGATGAATTAGTGATAAAAATTTATGAAACGGAATTTTTACCATAGCTGTATCTTCTGGTTCTTTCTTCTGAGCCTCTGGAGGTAGAAGACCTCGTTCACTGTACTTTGGAATTTTGTAGAATTCGGGAAGATTTTGCCATTTCTCTATAAGCTGTAAACGGTAATAATAACAAATATTAGCGAAAATCCAAACAAAAAATAAAAAAAAAAAAAAAAAAGAAGC